TTAGGGCACACTTTAAAATTAACCACTGCAGTCCCTAGCTATTCTTCTCTTCAGTCCTTCTCCTGCTAGTTACAAAACTTCTACTGCACCAGTTCTGCTGCTTCTGCAAAAGAGTTAATATTGCCTGTTATCCAGACAACAGGTCAGTTACTGGGCTCACACTTCATTTTTTTTTTTCAACTCTGAAGACCAGAATTCAAGTTCTGGTGTAATTTCACGAGTAAACAGTTTCTGTGTCACAGTGTTTCATCTTGCATCTAGTAAGAAGGTCAATGAAAAAAAGCCTTGGAGGTGGACAGTAGACAGCTGTGTTAGCAAGGAAGTCCAAGTATTGCACCGTATCAGCCATAACTTTTTTTTTCTTTGAAATTTTCTTCTGTTTTCCTATCTTTCATGGACACAAAATGGATTTCCAATTAAAAATAACATGAAACATTTTAATTAACTGAAATCCAAAGCCAGGGCACTCAGAGAACCCTGCCCAAAGTGAAAAGATCACTCGTTAACATTACAACAACCTCTTCCACAAAGTCAGCCAGGGACAAGCTGAGTGTCAGGTATCTTCCCCTGTCACCTCCCAGCAAATGTTATAGGAAGGCAAGAAATTCTGAAATGCTCCCAGGGCTGTAAATTACACAGATGTAATTGGATATACAGAAACATTAAGTGAGAAGTAAAGACAAATGTCTGGCTTACACAGTGCACTCCAGCTAATGTTAAGAACAGATGAGCAATCAGCTAAGAGTAAAAACAGGGACCACAGACAACACCATAGGTCTGGAGGTCCCTAATGCATGGGAAAAGTTATTCTTCCTTCTACCTTTTTCCACAACAAGTACACATTTTTGTAAATGAAACCATGTGCAAACTAAATTGAAGTTGTACAATGCAGCCTCCTCCATGGCCAAAGATGGAAGATGAAAAAAGGAAATTCTATCTTTTGAAGAGAACCTGTTCGTTCAAAACCTCCCTTCTTGGTCAAGATCACTACTGCTGGCATTAGAAGCAGAAAAGCACCCAGTTGTCAGCCCCTATCCTCACACACAGAGACCAGGTTCCCTGCTGCATAACGCATACGCAGCTGAACCCGTCTTCTGCCATAGCTGCAGGAATGAACTAAGCAGTGTGCAAGGCACAGAAGCTCAGCCCCAGTCCACGTGCCTTAGCTCTCGGGGAGACTTGCCCTGTTGGGACATGACAACAGAAAAATACAGAAGTGCACGGCAGGAAGATCAATCTCTCTGACTGACTCAAATGTTGATCATTATTCCCCCTTTTAACAACACACAATGAGCCTGAAGCTGTTCCGTATTGGAACAGCAATGCCCCTTCGCAACGTCCTGTCCTAGAGTCCAATTATCTTTTGAGCTTCCTCCCCTTCTCCTACCTTTGCATCCTCTCTCCTGTTTTATATGGAAGCACAAGCTGATGGAAACTACATAATTGCTTGCAGGAAGGAACTACCAAACGTGGTTGAGCTATTCCACCACTTAAAATAGAGCTTATCTTTCTGTTTATCTCTAAGATCTTGTGGCTGTTTGTCTCTTCCTATGTGTGGACAGTGACTATGTTTGTTTTTTTTCCATTCAGGATGACAGACAGCTGAGGAAACTGATAAGCTTCAAAGCAAGTCGTGGCAAGCAACAATGCAAAATTCCACATTTGAAGATTATTCAGCAGCATACAGAGCTTGGGTTTGGTCAGTGCATTGCAGCGTAGCATAACGGCATCCTCTTCATTCCCTGACAGTTTCTTAAACCTCAGATTTGAAGGAAGGAAGACCACTAGCTGGCTGTTAAAGAAGGCTAGAAAACCTGATCCCAGTGTAACCAGCACAGACACAGTACATACTAAACCTGAGGGCTGCATTCAACCCTGCATTCTTCAGTGAACCCACACGCACTGCTGTTTTAGGTCTCCTCTGAAGACAATAGCCCAGTTTGTGTCCATCACAGAAGTTGAAAGAGTATCATGTACATCTTTGAGTGCATGCTGCGTATGTGGACTTCCACCCAGCAGCTGTCCCCATAACACCCTTCCCCTAAAAACCACCTGGGCAAACACAGACTGTGCACCCCCTCATTCCACTCAAACCAAGAGCCCGCCCCCTTGGAAATCTTACGCAAGTGTTTAAACACCGGGAAGACCCAGCACACAGTAGTATATCAGGATATTTGGATTATCCTCTCCAGATGGCCCTGCTGTTGGCAGTCTACAACTCCAGTCAGCACAACGCCGTCTCTGTCGGCTCCAGTGGTGCTTAGGCTGGTGTTGCAGTTGTCTTCTATCTCCTGATGGTGCATCCCTCCACGTGGCTTCGCACTGGCAAAGTTGTTCATACTTGGACCTACCTGAGCATCTAAGTATCCATAAATATAACTTTTTAAGTCAAATCTCACAGCAAGTGCAGTCATGGCTCCCTCACTGATGGGCACTAGTGTCATTTCCTTCCTTTCTTCCAGTTTTTTCTCATCCTGAAAGTACTGTATCTGTTTTTCACACTGCTCTCCTCAAGCCAGGCAGCCCTAGCACATCCCTGTGCCTCCCACACAGACGTCTTAGAGTTTCCTACGAGCCTTGTCTCCACACCAAGTAAGAGGAACAATGAGTCGCCAAGCTCCTGCCCACCACAGCCTCTCTGACCTCTCAAAAGCAGAAGGCAAATAAGGCACTCAAGTAAAACCCCGAGGGTTTTCTGGGGAATGGCGATAGAACCTTCCGGACAGAGTCACGCCATGCCTCCCAATGACCCCAAGCAGTTAAAGACCACCTATTTCAATATCTGAGAAGACAGACATCTTTCTTTGCCACTATCATGAGACAAGGTGGCAGGGATGGTGCTGCTCCTGGGTTCTGAGGCCCGCAGCCGGTGTGGCTGGCAGGGACATGGCAGCCTCCACAGCCTGGTGCATGGTGAGCGTTGCACACTTTTCACTCACCATGCACCTGGTAACCAGCAAGAGTGAGACTCCTGAAAACCTTGCAGCAGGCTCACAACTTTATAGAAGGGAAGAAGCAAGAGATGGAAGAAAAGGCGAGAGGAATAGGATCAAAAAATGCATTGCTCTTCCTTCCTGAGGAGCAGTGGCCTAAGATGAGTCCTACAACAGGGCTGTGGTGGGAGGAAAGAAACTCCCTGTCCGGTGGCCCCATTGCTCTCGGGACAGCATGTGGCTTATGACGACAACCTAGCACATCCAGAACAACCAACTGTGTTAGCATTTCTAAAAGCAGAAAAATGAATGAGAAAATAGGATTTTAGAACTGTTATTATGAGCGTGTACTTTATCCCTTATATTAGCTCTTGTCTGGACAGAGGACAGTAAGTTTCCCTCTGTATCAAGGCATAAGTACACATCTTGGATTCCCAGTCCTGTGAAACATGCTTGTCTTTCTAGGACTGTCTCTGTGTATTTTGTAGATCACTCTTCAAAGATCCTACAGCTCACTGCTTGCAAGAGACAAGGGGAATACAAGGTTGCTCATGTTTTAAAATGAAATATTCTGTCAGCAAACTGTGTCAGACTCAGGCATCATGCAGCTTTAGGAGTTTTATGTATTTAACCTGCAGAGACAATCCTATTGAAGTAGCAGGTCTGACCTAATGGCGTTTCCACAAAAACGTGGTTTAAGTTGAAAGGGACTGACTGGCTTGAGAAACGCTAAAGAAACCTGATCCTCTGGCAAAAAAAAAAAAAAATAAATCTGGTTTCTTAACACAGGCAAGCACCCGGGTTGCTTTCTCTCAAGAGATTCAGGTAAATAAGATAAACTGTCCATGTAGCTTCAGAACATATATTGTATCTACTACAATTCTATCTCAGCAATACAGATTTTGTACTCGGGTAAACTGCATCTGTGTTACTTTACAGTAATTCAGTTTTTTTTCCATCAGCAATACCCCCTCACAAATATGAAAAAAACACCACTGTTTTTAACTTGTGCTCAGAAGTTCCACAGACACAGCCACTCAGACCACCTTCGGGCAGCCACGTAGCTGCTGATCACCGCTCAGGCAGACCCAGGTAACATGCCAGCAGCACAATCCTCACTACAACACGAAACAAATCCTTCCCCTTCCCACCCAGACCTCGCAGTAAACCTCGTTCTAGCCACTACCTGAATAAAATAAGCACTTTACAAAGAAGACACATACTGTTACCATAATGTCATTTCAACCATCAAAAGTTCATGATCATCTTGCTTAGTCTGCATTTAGGCAAACCACGGAGGAGAGACGAGCTCTACCTTCACACCGCAGTCGACTGTACTCTAGAAACATGTAAGCCTCTTGCAGAAGCACGTAAATGCAGGGCACCTCACCTGGTGATACACGTTACAGAGGGAGCAGTCTCAGCTGTTAAGCGTTAAGCCTTGCAGGTTTTGCTTGCTGCTCTTCAATAGACGCTCAGTAAGGGGGGGGACATGCAACCAGGTCACCTGCGGATGCAGGGACACGCTGTCCCCCAAGCGCCCCACTCCAACCTGGGGACGGGGGACACCGTTCCTCGACCGCACACCCCTCAGGGCTGGACAGGGGAGAACTACAGAGCACCGGGACCCCCTCAGCTACCTGAGGGGAAAGCGAGCACCTCGCCGGGTTAGGACTGGCAGCTCGGGAAACCCCCCGAGTTGGGAGCAGAGCAGAGGCGAGCCCCCATCCCACCCCGTCCCCTGCCCGCGCTCCCGCTTACGTTGGTGCCGCGGGAGAGATGCGTCCTCGCCTTGTCCTCTGGGCTCCCAAATGCATTTGTATGCATTTGTCCGGGCAGCGGAGGTCCGAGGGAAAGCCGGAGCCGAGCGCCGCGCCGCCGGAGCCTCAGGTCCTGCCCATCAAACCCCGGCAGCCCCGAGCTCTCCGCCGAGCTCCGCGCACGGCCCGCGGGGGGGGGGGGCGCGGGGGCCGGGACAGGGACAGGGCCGGGAGCCGGAGGGGGCGCGGCGGGGCCGGGGGCGGTGCAGGGGGCGCGGGGAAGCCCCGCGGCTGCCGGAGTCCGGTGCTGCCGCCGCCCGCCACGGCACCCGCCGCGGTGTTGGATTTCACCGCCCGCTGCCGGGAGATTACATCAGCAAACACGGCCCTGGGGCGGGCCGGCCCCAACCCCAACCCCAAAACCCCAGCAGGTGATGCCGCTAGGCGCTGCCCGCCGGGCTCCAGGTGGGGACCGGGGCTGGAAGGCGCAGGTTGGGTCAAAACGCGGGGATTGGGGCGGTGATGCGGTGTGAGGGGGGAAAAGCTGAGCGTGCGGCAGGTTTCTGCTTCTCGGGTGGAAAGGGAGTGGGGTCCTGCAGTCCTCCCTCTGGAAAATGGTTGAAGAGCAGATGTAATTTAGAAGCACGGGGATGCCAAAAGAAATATGACTCCCTTCCCTGTCTCTTCCTAAAGACACAGAGGTCTTAACTGTCATCTGCAGTTCTCCTACCTCATCCCAGGAACAGTCTAGCACAACTTTTTAACCATAAGACATCTTGATGCAAGCTGTCCCTCAAGACACACAAGGTAAAGTTAGACGATACGAGATGTTGCAATACACACCACGCTGCAAACTCGCGGTCAAATCCTGCAGCCTCACTTGAGCAAAACTTCCATTGACCTAAGCAGAAATTTTACATGAGTTAGGATTGTGGTATTTGGCTCTTTCTGAGTGTAATTTCACAAAGATTTTACATCAGACTTGCAGCAAAGATCTTCAAGCTGTAGGTATGGAGAAAGGTGACATGAAATAAAACTGAATGTGCAGAAAAACATTGCTAAAGCACAACAAAAGTTGCTCAAGATGAGGATTGTGTATTGTTGTCACTGAGGATGCTCCACTCAGCTGAAAAGACCTCCTCTGCATGGTCCAAGGAGCTGGGAATAGGCATAAAAATAGGGGAAAAAAAAAGGTCCAAGGCATCCAAGGGCAAACCTAGACCATTGACTTTTTCTTGAGTATATCAGAATACAAAGTTACAGGGGATAAATTACTCCCGGAGAACTGACCTTAATGTTTCAGTGTTTAGTTTCACACAAATTCATTTTCAACAACTTGAATCACCCAGAATGTTCATCGTCTCACTGACTACCCTGGGATTTCTGATTTCCTTTGCATATTGAAAGCTGAAGGAGAAAACTGACAACATTTTGCCTTCCTGTCTACATACCTTGCCTTAAAAATAAGTGACAGGAGAACATGAAAATGTATTTGTTCACTGAGGAAACTTTGTTCCTGCCCAGATGTATTAGATGCTGCTGCAATCAAGTCTTTGCCAGTATTTCTTTCTAGTTTCAACCACACTTGAGTGGCTTCCTGGGTGAATCCTGCCCTCATTTCAGTGTGCACTGACAGGTCCAAGAGCCGTCCTGCAGCACAAGATGAGGTGGAGTGGGGACATCATGTGCCAAGATCACCCCTTCCTGCAGTGCTTGTGCCAAGGATGGCACAACTTGAGCTTCTCGCCAGTTGTGTGTGCAGGGTATAAATAAAGCTTGCTGACCCTGACTATGCAGTGACTTAAAGCAATATAAGGTTTAAAAATTAACACCAGTTGTTCAGTTTTCTATATGCAGAATGACAAAATTAAGTTCACAAGTAGGACACTTGACTCCTGCTTGACGCTTTTTTCTTTATGTCCTTGTTAAAGCCTGTGCTATGGGTTCGAGCCCTGTATTCAGGCTACTTGGGCAGGGTCCTTGGCTGCCTTCTTGTACGGAGTCCAGGGGCCCATCAGGACATGGGAGGCATGGGCCAGGGCTACTTGTGCCCTCCCGTTTCCTTGCCACATGCAGCCCACACGCTGCAGAGCCAAGCGTGCACCAGCAGGTTGGGGCCACGTGAGGGCAGGTCCTTGTGCCCCCAGCCCATGTCTTGAGCCTCTTTCTGTAAAGTGAGTAATGCTACTCCGCAGCTCAGTTGCTTTCCTTTGGCATTAACACCATTCAGAGCCTCTGAAGCTTCTAGCTTCTAGAAGCAATGAGCACCATCAAATGCAGACAAAGAAAGCAAATCAAAAAGCATGAGGAAAACATTTCCACGAGTGCGTGGCACTGCTGGAAACAGTCCAGCAGCCCCCACCTCGTAGCCCATCACCTTGCGTGTTAGATCTGCGCCAGCTCTCTTCAAAGTTTCATGCCAAAAGTCAGCATCAGTCTTAATCTTACACTTCTTCCAAGTGTTTTTACAGCCTAATACACAAAGCCTACCATGTTTAAAGCTATCAGATTACTTGTGTTTATTTCCAGAGCTATATTTAGTCATCTGTATACTTACAGACACTGAAAGACACATTCAAGCTCCAAATGTGTTAGCTCTCATTCCAACACAGTGATGCTGGAGTTTCGTTTCCTATGGTAAATGTCCTGCGATCCCGTTTTTCCATGTCTGCTCTCTCCTGCTTGACTACAGCCTGTCCTGTCCTTGATTTCTCTTATCTCTCCAAGTAAGATTACTGAAAGACAAAATTAGTTCTTTCAATGCACCACTTCTGGCCTTTCTGATTTGATTGCAAGCTCTGTTTGTTTTCTCATTTTCCATCAGTTTTTTCCTCCTTTCATGAACTAACTTGCTCATCTGTCACTCCAGATTACAGCTGCTGAGTTCCAGCCCCACTGCAAGGCACATAACAGGAGCGGTTCTTAAGTGGTGTAAGAGGCAAGGAAAAAGGGTCCTATCTGGAATTCTCCTTCCAAAATAAGTACAGGAGAAAGCAATAGTAAGTATATTTCCAGAGCCTAAAAATCAAGAAATAAAGGAATAAGAATTTGAAGGAAAATGTGTGAAATGGGAATGTAAGGGCTTGGAGTTGGACTCTGAGTCTTATCCCATTGCACTCAATAAGCTTTACCTTTGACTTTGGTAGGAGCAGAATGGGACCCATACAACTTTCCTGGTCCGGTCCCAGAATTAGGATTTTTTGGCAGAAGATCTACACCATTATTGAGTTCCCACTGGCGACTGATTTTCCCTGCACACCACAATATATGGTGTTAGGCTATGTACCAAAACTGTTGGAACATAGTTCAGCAAAATATTTATTTAGAATTCTCTCTGTGGCAGCCAAAAAATGTTTAACACAGTACTCTGGTTAAAGAAAGTTACCGAGCTATCAAATGTGATTAAGAATTACAAGAAATGGAAAGGATTACAGCATGTCTTTGACAAAAATGCCTAAAATCAAAGAAAAAGGAAAAGTGGTCTGAAACCATTTGTCTTTGCAGAATGTGAAAGAAGTTGTAATGACCTTCTCTCTCTAGTTATGCCTATTATCTTCTGATAGAAGGAATTAGTGAGAAACAATGTTTTCCAGTTCTGAATATGCCAAATCTGGAAATGCCTTTGAAGAACATGGTTCTTGATGACTTCTTACATGAATTCTATCACTTTTAATTTTCTACTAGCAAAATTTCTGCCATAGAGAAATAATTAAATTTACATTCCAAAGAATTATAAGTGGAGAGGATTTTTCTACCTTACAAGACCAACACAAAACACTGTGAGGGGAAGGGGCTAAGAGAAGAAAAGAGATGCTGTGAGTTCAGAGGACTAAAGTTCAGAGATCCTGGCACAGAGCAAAATAAATAAATAAAACTGAGATAAAATAAAAGCATGCAATAGTCAGGACTGACAAAAATGCCAAACTACAAATGACCATACAGAGCAGTGAGTTTCTTCAAGTTGCTTAGTTAAAGCAAACAAGGGAATGTATCCAGCCAGGAACGAGAAAGAGAAGAGAGCCCCAGTGAACTGCAAGACATAGTACAGGCTCCAGACCACAAGGCTCCAGCGACTCCAGCTGGGAAAGGTGTCTAAATGAAGCCAAGATACTTGCAATTGTTTGTGAGACCTGGTATCACCCATTTTAATAAGCCACACCTATGGCAGAAACTCACCTTAACAGAGTTAAAGAGCCTTTTAGGGAAAGCTGAAATGTGCAACTGAAGCAAACTGTGCTGGAGAAGCAAACCCACACCCAGCAGCTGAAAATCTGTGATGTGTTGTTCCAGTGATGGCACATCATATGCCATACCAAGAATGTGGAGAAGCCTAGCCAAACACACAAGAAAATATTAAAGGAAGAGAGAAGCCTGAGAAGCAGCTAGTCTGAAAGTAATAAGTGAATGGAAAGTACGAGAGCAAGAACGAGTGCAACATAGGAACCATGGGAATGGTTCACCAGACAAGAAGACTCCAATTACCAAACAGGCCAAACTGCCAAGAGAGAAGCACAGTAAGTTTCCATCTCACAGAAAGGCTTTGAAGCCCAAGAGCAGCTAATGAAAGAAAAACCAGAGGAGAAGAAAACCCTATGATTTTCATTTTTAGTTAACCTTTGTCCCATCATTAATGGTGTGTTTTGCGATCCAGGAAGGAAGCGGAGATACCCACTCTCACGGGCAGAAAGATGTCTTTGACATGAGGTATTTCTGGGTACTCATGGAGCTGAGAAGCTACTTGTAGGTGACATTCATAAATATGGCTGAGAGTTGGAATGCCCAGGACCAAATCACAAACTCTACAGGCATGTGCTGAGACAGAGAGCAAGACAGACCTCAGTGGGTGCTCCCACTGGGGTGGTGGCTGTGACCTCCCACCACAGGCATTTAGCAACCTTGGTGGGGTCTCCTGCACCACAGGGCTCTCTCAGCAGGGCTCCAGGAGCATTCCCATGGAGAAGCCTTTCCTAAAGGGTCCCAGTCCTCTGTCACTGTATGAACCTGCCTCATCTCCATCCATAAAGGGATGTAAAAACCTATTTTTGAAAATAAATAAATAAATAACAGGAAAACTCTGATAGTTCTATATGAAACTCATTTGTGTCACCCAAGGATGCTTGGCATCCTTGGTAGAGCTCACTGGCACCCTTCTGCATAAGAAGAAAGGGACAAAAGAACTAGCATCGTATAGGACATCTTTCTGTAGGATAAAATCTGCAGTTATTTCCTGAAAACCACTCTGTAGAAGAATGAAAATGGAACTCATTTGAAGTGAAAGTGCCCACACTGATAGGGCTTTCACAGCCTGCTAGCAAAATCTCAGCAGCACTAAAAATTGCTCACACATCTGGAAGAAACAGCGCAGTCATCTGAGAAGTATTTCGCTCCCAAGCCACAAAGAAATCTGCGTTAGGCCAGTCCTTTTTCAAAGACTTTCCCATTCTTTTCTCAGCAACTGCGGAAGATGCTTCAATCCTCAGTTCGTTAGTCCTAGAAAGGACTTGTCCATCTTTGCTTCCAGCTCTCACTAGAGGAACAGGGCTGAAACATGCTTTTGGCCTGTTTCTGCAAAATTAGCTTCTGGCAACATTAAGGACAGGTTACAGAAGATTCACTCCTCCACTTACTCATGATGAGTGGTAGTTAAAACCACATTAAATCTCTGTCTTGGAATAAGGGAACTTGTTCTCACTTCAGAAAACCTTCTCACAATGCTCTCCCATTGATCTGCTACATCAGAAAGTTTCCTCCAACTTCTCACCAATTCTCTTCAATGGTTTTTGAGTCTCTTATTACAAAGCCTATCTAAATCATGCAGAGCAATGGAGTAATTTAAATTTGACAGTATTTGTTGATGATGTTCATTAAAACAGGAGTTTCCAGACTCAGTAGATACTAACATTATCAATGGAAATTGCACTTTTTTTTTTTTTTTTTGGTACAGGTATGTCAGTATCAGACTTCTCCTGTACTCTTTAACTTCCAGTAAAGGGAAAAACTGTGAATTACTTTCTTGGAACCTCTGGATCAAAGAAGCAAGCCAAAAGTATTTTTAAGTAGGACTTGGTATTTTTGCGTCACGGATATTTAATTTCCAAAGTGAGAGTTCTAGATGAGGCATGTATAATGGCAGGAAAGTTTTCTATACAGAAAGGGACTTAAAGTACGTCACTTTTTCTGAAAATACCAGACAGCTGAACATGTGGAATCCTAGACCAAAATACATTGGCACCAACTTCAATGCTGATATTTTTATAGTAGTAGTATAATTAATTTCTTTAAATCCTTTGCAGCTGTACCACCAATATAGTGTGGTATTTTTAATAGCCTATTTTCATCACCTTATTTTTAGAGATGAAGGTTTTAATCCTGTTCTTCAGTTATTTAAAATTGATTAGATATGCAAACAAGAACTACTGTTACAGCAAGGGACTTTCACCAGGCACAGCATGATTTCAGAGCAACGCTTCCCCTTTCCCTCTGTCCCCAGTCATTCCACAGTAGAGACTGTTCTTGGAGTAAAACCGAACCAAACAATAAGCACTGATTAAAAATAAAAAATAATACAAAAAAAAAAAAGAGATGAATACATCTGAAAGATGAGATTTTTTTTTGCTTGGATCTAAAACAAATTGTTAAGCCAGATGTGCCTGGCTTATTCTTATTAGACAGTGGTGAAGCCTCATGGTGGTTTAATTATGTGGTGTTGTCTTAAAAATCATCAAAAGAGTTGAACAACAGATGATGCAAGTAACTGCACTGTGTTGACCCAAACTCACACAAAGGTTTAGTAAGTGATCCTTGTTACAAGCTTTGGACTCCTCAACTGTAAGTCAAAGTACTAGCATTAACTATTGCCTGCAGTCTGGCGGTGCACACTGGAGTTCTTGCAGGATTGTGAATGATTTTTCACAGGGTTCCAGCTTTTTCTGGTGCTCAGGTTTCTCTCAAGACAAACCAGCATTGCACCCTGTGACTTCCAGGGAGAGCAGTGGTGGAAGCTGCGAAGTCTCTCCTGGACACAAGGGAACTGCTACATTTTCAAAGGCTCACAACCTGCCTGAATTTTAGTGGAAAGGCAAGAGCTATCAGACTGGCACAATGATACATCTTAATACCAGACTTTAGGTAATTTTGCAGAAGCAGGAGATGCCAAACCTTAACTTAGTCCCCATTTTCAAACATAGGCACAACAATATGGTTTTCATCTCCCTTCAGAAACTTCTGGGGCAGTACAAAGCTTTCTGAAATGATCCAGCTGAGACAGACCTCTGCAGTCTGAAATGTAGACCTCCCTAAAACCAGTAAGAAGAAAAATGCATAGAAGTTCTATAATTTGTTCTTCTTTTACTTCATAGTTTGGGGAGCACTTTTCTGTCCCTAAGTATTTAAGGCATTAGAATGTGCTTACCAAAAAAATATGGCATTTATGGTTATCAGATGTTTAGCTTTGCTTTAAATTGATTGCCCAACACATGTAAGCTAGCTGCTCTTTTCCAAAGGGAAGTATTTTCCCTGTAAGAGCTAACTTACAATGATTTTAAGGTTACATATGTAATAAAACAGCACTTATTTACCTGCTGGAGAATTTGAAAGAAACAGGTTTTAATAAAAAAATAAATCAATATCTGACTTCTTTACAAAGAATTGTAGCCTGCATTTTATAGTTTAAATATACATTAAAAATTGGATGAACATCCTCAGATATTTCCAGAAGTTTGGCATTATTCTTGAAGCAGCATTATTTACAAAGTGATTTCCTTAAGCTTAATAGTCTATAGGTTGAGCTTTGGGGTGTTGTGTTTGTTGGTTTTTTTTTTTTTTTTTTTTTTTTTTTTTGTTTGTTTTTTTTTTTTTTGGTGGTGGGAGGGAGGCAGGGGTCTTCAGCTCACTGGGTAGCTGAGGCAGTATGAGCTGATTGTAAGCAGACTTCCTGTGAAAGCCTGGGTAGGTCCCGTGGAGCAAGCATTCCCAGGTCTTAGCACACCACGTTTGTCAGAGCAGACTCCAGAGGAAACTGGGTCAAGCAAAAAAGGGCTACATTTTCCAAGAAATAAAACCCTCTTTTCAGATCTTTCCAGATACTTCGGTGACATGAACAGATCCCTCATTTTTGGCAACATCATCTCTATTGAGTCCAGTTTACCTCAGCAAAATCCCAGTAACTGTAAAACACAGACATGGGTTCTGTGGAAGAAGTCCAGATTTCAGAAACTTGGTGGAAGAGAGAAGTATTTCAGATGCGCCTCTGACAGCCAGCCACAACTTGATGCCTTCACTCTACTCCATTTCCTGCACTTTGGAGGATGGAAGAGATTTTGAAGGCCTTTGGTTTAGCAAACTTGGTGATAGGAAACATCCTTCCAGGCTTCATACTGACTGCTGGGAAGGAGGCATGTGCTAGCAGCAACCCTTCCCCAGTTCTGCATATACAACCGTTAATTCACATGGATCAAGGCATGCATCTGTTAGGAAAAAGATCGTTTTATCTTAATGATACTTTTGAGGAAATGCTGGCACTGAAGACTGACCACTGCCATCAGACCATCACTGAGGAGTGGGAAGAGTCCCAATGGCACCAGAGCTGTTTGTTCTGCACTACGGCAATTTGTGCTGAAGTTACTCCATGTGGCAGTTGGACAGAAAGAAAACGCCAATCTTCATTTTGTATAGCAGCAGGTAATATATTACTCCAAATGTGTAATTAAACAACATAATTATCATAGAAATATTTTCTAACAATGACTATCATTTCCTTGTTGACACTACACAATTTATTTTCCATTCATTTTTATGCCTCTCCCATTCAGCTGCTTCACTCATTTGACAATCTTCCATGAAGAGACTGAAGAAAATTATGCCACAGAACATTTGGAAGGGGGAGTGTTTACAAAGCATATAAATAGTCTGATATAGCCTGGGTAATTAGTTGTAAGCAAAGTAATAAAAAAACGTGGAGCACTTGCAAGCATGTCAGATGGCTGAAAATGCAAGCCCTGATGGCTGAATTAGTCTTGGTTGCATGCGATATGAACATATGATGAATGCCACTTCAAAATGTGAGCACAAAATAAGCCACGGGCTACATTCAGTCCAAGTGCATGTAGTACAGATGAAATATCAATCAAGCCAGATGTTAGTTTAGCTCATGGCCCTAAAAATACATTCGGCAATCTTAGGTACAATGTGCAAGGCAGGATACATTTTCTCCTAGAGCATTTACTGAAAGTTGAATTATTCTGAAAGATCCTTAAAAAAAACTTAGAATTCTTCAAAATTTATCCACCACTGCAAATCCTGCTTTTATTTAGACAAAGAGCAGCAAGCACTGAAAGCATACCTCAACCCCTTTGTGGAAGCTGCTGGTTAGCAGTGAAAATCCCTGGACCTCCTTGCCCCCTGCTGTTATGTTTTAAAAATTAATGCAGAGTTCCATCAGATCAATGTTTATTTCTGACAGTGAGGTTTGGCTGGGATGTAGCTAACGTCCTTGGCATGTTTTAAGTAGCATATCAGAATGAATCATCGACTTTAGTAATACTGTCTTATATGTCTCTTGTTTAGAGAAATAATGTGTAGTAAGGGAACCCTTAAGGATTAAATCCCCATTTTGGGAGACAGATATACATGTGCTAAGATATGCGGCTGAAGTCAATTGAACAGCAGCTCTGAACTTACACTGTATACACACATCTGTCTGTGGATTTTCTTCTTCTAGTCTAGAATATTAACCAATTCTCCAACCTTGCATTTCCCAGGAGAATATAGTTATGAAGGCTTTTTTTTTCCTGCATTGTATCATTCAAATCATAATTTTTCTAAGGGTCTAAACATATGGAGGGCTACCACGAGCCCACAGTGTTTTCTAGCTTTAGACACAAGAGCCTGGCTGCACCAGAAGTGCACACAGTGCAGGGGGATGCCAGGGAGCACTTCTCACAGTAGCCCATGCAGAGCCTGAGGTAAAACTGGTGGCTGGAGGTAGGTGCTGGCTGTGTTGCTAGTCTCTCCCCTGAGCTGCTGACTTAAATGAAGCACCATCAGCTAACATCGTGGCTCTCCATGGGATGCAAAACTCATGGTCTTGTTTCATTTCATTGACTTCCCCATCTCCCCCGGGAGCTGCTCTCCACAGTGATATCAGGCAATTGTACTGTAGCAGAGTCTGTCCCTTTGTAACCTTGCAAGAACCTTTATTCTCTCATTACAACAGTGCTGCAGCACAGAGTTTTATCACAATTGCTTCTATCTCTATTTGCTATTGTATAATTCCAAGGGCTGTAAATGCAAAAAGCTTGATGGATGTTGGCACTTGGAATTGTGTTGCTTTTTTTTCCCCCCCAAACGTCCTTTAGTCCTAAAGTCTGAAGAGATTATCCTCCCAAACAATACCAGCTGTGTTATGATAACTTTTTTTTTTTTAGCACTCAGTTATTTGGATTGACTTTTTTTTTTTTTTACCACCACACTAGCCTCTACAGCACAGACTGCTGTTGCCTGCTTGAGCTCCTGCATCTGAAAGGATTGCAAACAGCAATATACTGCACCCTGATCATCTTCCTGCTCAACTTTAAAACAAAGACAAGAACAGTCTATGAATAGAAAGTTATTTAGTTTTCCTGTTTCATTCGATTGCACCTCCTCACTGTCACTTGGAACCTCATACATTTGTTGCTACTGCATCAGACTTACACTTTGCACTGTGCCTGTTTGCTCTTCAAAAAAGGCTTTCAAAAATCTCTTCTCATTCACTGCTTCTCATGACAGACCATACAGTAGCTTCAATCATACCCTTGTCCTTCCATGTTGTGGGTTTTTTTTCCCCTCAAGAAAAAAAAAAAAATACTCTGACACTTGTTAAATTACTTTTATGTTGTTTGTTGACAGGGTAATATAGATCAGGAAACATTATAGTCAGTTGTGCAAAAATCTTCAACTGCTTCCCCAACAACTGGTAACAGCACCCTACAAGTAGGAGTTTATTCTGGTTTGCTGCCCTTTGACATATTTTTCAGTTTTACTTTAGTTTACAATTATGCAGTCCTGCATCCTAGAAATTCACTGAGAGGAACAGCAAGTCACTTACAAATATCTCATCTGGCATTTCATGTATTACTGATGACAGGATTTTGTACATGAAGAATTAAAATAAGTGCTTGCAAATAAGTTTTAGGGGAATGGCTTTAGTGTGTCAATACAGCAAGCCAGGCCATACCGTGGAACAAGTCTCAGAAATACGGTTCATTCACCAGCACAAAACCGAATCATTACTGGATAAGACAATCCTCTTTTTGATTTCTCAGGAACTAAGAAATAAAATGTTGTGAATATATTATGGTTAAGCGACTGCCTTAGAGGGGAGTTAACTCCGCTGTGAGGTGTTAGTCTGTACTAGAATAACCTTTAAGGCCTTTTCTTTTTTTTCAGACCTGTCACAGAATTGAAGAAAAACTGTAAGATTATGTTTGCCCCAACCTTTTGAAAGGTTAGTATATAGACTCCATAGCTTTATGCAAACAATTTCAACCCCTTTTAAATCTGGAAGAAGATAGACGCCTAACTTGGAAGTTAGCAGTGTCAGATGTAGTTAGGAGAGCATCAATCTCCATGAAGAAAAGGGGTTTTCAACCTGAACCTGACACTGTTTGCTTCTTCAGGGAGAATGAAGCATGGGCAGTTTATTTGCAAGACCTTACAGTTAGGACTGCTTTACAGCTTCCTAACGTGAAGATCCAGAGACAGATGGCCTCCACTGCCAGCAGCCTCTGGGCTGAGTTGTTTTCACCCCTAGGACCTTTGCCTGTTCCTCACCTGGAGTCTGAACCTCTGCTCTCTGATCCAGGACTTTCCCTTTAACAAAGATGGAAGCTGAGGTGTGAAAGGACATGGAGAAAACTACCAGTTACCAAAATGCCTGTCTTTAAAGATCCAGAACTGTATCAGACTGACGTAACAGTGGAAAGAGTAACATGTGAGATACCAGCCTGTTGAACCTCACTGACTTGTAGGCTGCTTTGGATGAAACAAGTTTGGTGTTTTTTTTTTCAGTCTGTGGACAAACCATGGTGCAATGCCATCCTCAGGCTTACAGAAGTCTTCCCGAGCCTAAAGCCTCTGCCAGGACTGCAGCTGTCAATGCTGAGGCATGTGTCCTGCCTGAAGGGCCATGTTCTCTTCAACATTCATAGCTCGCTCAGCCTGACCAACGCAAGCACCAAGCAGCTGTGCTGAAACACATTGGTACTACTGGCTTCTCACCTCATGGCAATGGAGCAAGTGCCTGGGCAGTACAGAAGCACTCCTGACACTGAAACAGCAAGCTGTGCTGATCTGAACATAGAGGGAGGTAGGGTGGATGGTTTGTCAGAGGACTCCATTTCATGCCTTGCTCTGTGGGCCAGCTCAATCAGCCGCATTACAGGTGAACATGCCTCTGGTATAGTTGCACTAAGATTTATACAATTGCACAGTGAATTTTAGAGGATTAGTCAGTATTATTGTCATATGGAAGCAGCCTCTACCCCTAAAAAAGTGAGACATTCTAGAGCTAGGAGGAAGACTCAGGGTTGTTTCAGGTCCCTGCCCCACCCTCTTCATTCTGGTGAGATGGAATCTCAGGTGCATGTGATAGCAACTCCCTCCAGCTGCCCACCAGCTCCAGCACAACTTGGACTCCTCTGCAACGTGGCTTTGTTACAGCCCTTCTCACTGACACGAAGTGTCTGCTCTGGGCCTGAGTAGTGGCCCTTGGAAGAACGCTTCAGCAGGACTTCTGCAGCCTGTGCAGAGCAGTTAACTCATGACAGGGTGGAGAGCTGGGAATGAGCATCTCTCCTCTGATCCACCAGGGACAGCAGCTAGAGAGGAGCAAATGTATCTGGGACCAAACCCTGCTGCCCTCAGCTACATTCCCCAGTCACCAGTGCTGGGGCCAGGAGCAAAGGGCTAGCTCCAAAGGGGTAATTGGTAAACATAATCAAGAGCAAGTTTAATCAAAAAGTACACTCGCTATTCAATACAGCTGTTTATATTTATCACATACATTCAATTAATTCTGTCCTCACTTCAAATTTGTTTTCTACTCACCTCACTGATTTCCATGACCATATTCTAGATTTGTACTAATGAGAAGAGTAGAATCAGGCCTTCTGGATTCCCTGGTGATTATCATCTTTGTTTTTCCAGCTCATCTAGTAGTAAGACCCATGCTTAACCAGGAACCTTCATCAGCCAACAAATGACATTAACAAGAAAAAAAAGAAATAATGTCATTCTTTACAATACATGTGTAAATGAAAGAAAGTCCTTCGCATCTGGCACTTTGGTTTAGTGAACAGGTATTTTTACCATTTGCCAAAGCTGTACATCCATAATAGAAAGGTAATAAGAGATCCAACAAAACCAGTTGGCATCTATAAGGCACATTAAACATTGATACCTGTTTTGGGACTTGGACAGAAGCAAACTGGTGACAAAGCAAAGGAACTGTCTCCCAGAACATTAAATGAAAAACACCAGAAAACATCTAGCATAAATTACTTTTCCATTTCATTTCCTGATTCAACTTTTTAAAATGAATGAATACATCTTTTTGATGAGCTTTCCAGTCTTGTTTTAGAAGAGGAAATGGAAAAGACTGTGGTTCGTGCATTAAAAACAAAGAAATCTGTGTTA